ATCGAATAAGGGACGTGGACAAGCCACAATTCCAACTCTGTCATGGAGAAGGGATGTACTAGAGGGGCTGCTCTTCTGGATTCTAGCCAGATGAACACCTCTAGGCAAGGGGAACAGCATATACTAAGCCCTGGAAGAGAGGAAAAGAATGCATATATTTGAGTGATAAGTGGCCTCTTGAAAGTCAACTAGCTGTTCATGAGCTTTTTCTGAAATACTGAGGCATTGATAGGATTATGTGTGTGGGGTTTTTTTTTTTTAATTGTGTTTTTTGACCTTTACATTTTGCTGTGATTTGCTTCCACAATACCTATTCTTGGTCTTCACAGAGCAGCCTTTTAATAAGATCTTAGATCTGATGTAGAACTTAAACCCAGCTCTAGACCAAGAACCTACTTTAATACAAAAATTCAGAAGCATTTAAAAATAAGATTAAATACAAAAAAGTCACAGACGAGATTTAGCACTGTTAAAGGAGAGTGTGGGGAAGGAAATCTGATATTCTATGAAATATTGTAAACATAATTTTAACTAAATGGTGTCATGGAAATGATAGGAATTGGCCTTATTTTTCTATTTGATGGTCCAGGAATCTTTTGGCTACTCTGGCCACATCAATTTTGTTGCAGTAGCAAAAGTTTTAAAATAGAGCCTTATCTCGAAAAGCTGGCCAAAAAAACAAACGTGATTTATAGAGCAGCTAATAACTCATCTATTTTTTAAAAAATGTGATATTTCATCGGAATGATGTCTTGGGGGGCCTGGGGCAACAGTTCATTTAGCTATTTAGCTATTTAGCATGCGCTTAGTTTAAGGAATTATGTCGGGTTTATTTTTAAATGACTTGATCACAAAAGCAAAACATGCTGACTGTAATAAATTGAAAAAATATAAAGAATAAAAATATGTAATCTACCACCAAGACTAGTAATACTTTGTCTTTTTTTAACTATAGGCACTGCATCAATTTCCAATTTTATCATTGAGGTTGAAAATTGGGTGGATTGGTTCCAAGATTTGGCTTTTGCTACAGCTTTGTTACAAATTGGGCAAGTTCCCTTTGGCTGCAAAACTGGGAGTTGGACTAAAATTTTTCCTGTTAAGTGTAGAACTCAACAGGAAGATTTTGGGTCCTCTCACCTTTCCCCAATTTCATCTTTGCCACCCTTGAGCCAATCTCATTTCACAGGTGCATGTTGGTATGGCATTTCAAGTGAATGTAGACTTGCTACCAAGCCAGCCACTAATGACTTGGTATTGTTTCTGATTAATTGTATATGAATATTTAGACCTCGCTTATAGTCTCCTGTAGCATAGCAACAACTGAAATCCCATTATCTTGTAAAAGTACATTTTATGGTGCTCATTAAGCTTTAACATTTTTCTTCTGCTAATCATATCTATGAGACAAAACATGTTTTAGAAATTAGAAAAGATAGCTTCATGTTCCTATCATGTAGAATAACTAGCATATTTACATTTTACATATACCTGATCCATTCTCACCCACCATGTGACTCCTTTTGAAATAGTTCCACGATCTAGATTAGTAAATCCTAGTCACTCAAATTTCATTATGTATAACCTAACAAGTTTACAAAGTATTCTGGCTGATGTTGAGTAAACTACTCAACTCAAACCTGTCAAAAGCAGCTTAGACATGATAGGTTGGTTGCACTAGATTTGCACTGGATGCTGTTTTCCTTAAGTTTTGGCAAAAAGCATTAGGACTGGGTAATCAAGGGAGTAGGGCCACATTCTTGCAATCCGTTTTTTTCCTTCTAAAACTAAATATTTTGAGCTCTGTAGGCCATGGGTCTGTTTGGAGTAAATTACTCCATGCTGTCATTGTAGCGATAAAGCATCCATAGACAATTTTAAATGAACAGGTTGCTCTGCTCTGATAAAACTTTCACGTCATAGTTTACAAAAAAAAAGTAAAAACCATTCTAAGCTTGTGAGCAGTACACAGGCTGGGACAAGGTTTGACCTGTAGGTTGATTCCTTCCCTTGGCAGTGTTCAATGCTTTCGTGCTGGAACCAAACGTGTCTCTTCCCCCTTTAAAAAGTGGTAATTACTGTTACTCCAATAATTCAAGGAAATATTTGTGCAGGTTTCCTTGTTTCCCGTTGATGTTTATACATATTTTGATAAGGTCTGTTCAGATTGAACATTTATCAAGTCCATTTTTCATATAAGAGATCGAACATTCTTACAAAGTTTCTCAGAACGTTCATTTTAAAATTAAAATTATGTGTTTTAGAAGAAAAGGTGAAATATGTACAGGCTCCTTTTTAAAAAGTAATCTTTAACGTGTTTTCAGTTGGTGTTACTGAAAGGCCCTCCCCTCCACTTGTGGCAGTTTTGGTAGCAGTATCTATTGACTACATGACCATGATTTAATCCCATTTGTAATTGAAATTGATGCCAGTTTTATAAGTCCTGCAATATACATCTTTAACCATATTTTGATTGTGCAACTTGCTGAAATATTTTTGTCTAGATTCCCAGAAGTGGAATTCGGTGAAAGGGTTTTATTTTATGTCTATAGCATTTCACTGTATGGACATATTACTAGTTTACCATTACCAACCTTTAGGCCTGGACAATTTATTTCAATACCATTTTATACCATCTTAATAGCCCTATCTTGGTACATAAACCTTTGTCCACACTCCTGGAGATTTCTAGTATAATTATTTGATCAAAAGGCATGTTTAAGTTTCTTGATGCACCAATTTTTTTTCCCCACTAATTGGATTAAGGAGTTCATCTACGTAACAGTTGAGAAAAGCATAAAGATCTATCTATACTTTTATACAGGTCTGGCACTGTTATAGTAAGAGCCAAGAAATATGATGTCCAGAGGGTGGTATTCCACATATTGGGAGGAACTTTGGGGATTAGTCAAGATTATCAAAAGTAGAATCTAACATGTTTCTAGTAAAAAGATATGAAACCTTTGAGTAAATTAAGATAGGTCTTAGAGAGCCTTCTCATTTTACTGCTAAAATTTAGCCAATGGCAGTATCAGGAAGACATTAAAAATAGTTAACCACCAGATATGAGATCACTTTTTAGCCTGACTTTGGCTCTATGGCTCCATATAAAGTGTTGCTAAGTATTTGGTAGTGGTGGTGGTGGTGGTGGAGCACATTTTTAAGTAAAATTTTGCTTTTGAAGATGGTGCATGTCATAAAAAAAAAATGGCCTGAAAGACATTTTGACAAGTAAACACCTAATGAAGTCATCTCTACACTAAATGTTAGGAGTTCCTTGAGGGCAGGAAACTTGTTCTGCTCTAGCATCGATGCTAGGCATAAACAGACACTGATTATTGTGCAGCTACTGGTAAACACTTTTAAGAATTTACGAAACAAAATGTTGGCTGGAAACTTCATTTGAGGCAAAATCAACTATACAGCAACATTCCAGGTGTAACCAATTCATTAAAAATTGTATTTTAATAAACGACTAGGGTTTATCACTGTGTCACTTTGTAGAAAATTCTGCTTTGAGACCTGTAGAGAATTCTTGTATTTCAATGTGAAAACACTGGAAAATGCCAAGCTTTTCCCTTACAATTGAAATAAGACTTGAGTAGAACTTTTAAGTGGGGATTCTAAAGTTGGTTTTGGGTAAACAGAATTTGGGGAAAATATAATGGCAGGCAGGGTGCCTACAGCCAGTTAATCTTTCAAATGGAGCTGCAATAATTAAAGCAATGGTAGTAAAGACAACATCTGCAACTCATTACAGCAAAATACAAAATAAGCTCTTGAAAATTATTAAAACCCAGTTAATTCCACTAGTAAGGGAAGTGTAGAAATGTACTACTGAGATAATGTATGACCACCAACTGGAGAAAAGTAATGTTACTATGGAATGCCAGGTAAGTTTTCACTTGCACAGTTTTATGTTTAAAAAAGGAAAAGATAATTTATTTCCATTTTTATTTGCTGTTTCCAAATATATATATATAAAAAGTCAAGATTCTTACACCAATTATCTCAAATAAGACCATGCAAAGCAATTCAAAGTGTATACAACAATCACCATCACCCCCACCCCCACCCCCTCACTTTTGCTTCATTATACAACTGTGTGATCAACAATGGAAAACTGAATGGCATGTGCCTGGCTGAAAAATTTCACCTGTTTACAAAAGACAAAAAAACCAACAACGAACATGCAGGATAGTTGCTACTTTTTTTTATTTAGGAGGCACACGGGACTGCAAATTTTAGCTGCCCAATTTTATCCAACTACCCCACAGAAAGCACAATAACAGTCCCAACATTCTGTAAACTTTGGAGCTCTGAGACAGACACTTTGTTATCTGTAGCATTTAACTTTTGAGCCTGAAAATGTAGGCTTTTTCTCTTAATAGAAATTTCATTAGGGCCTTCCCTCTAATTTTGCTAGACTGGGTTTCAGAATAGTGAAGAAACCATCCTTTGAAATCTAAAGTGTGAAAACGGTAACAACTGTAAAGTATTCTGCTGCATTATACCAAGTTTTGCTAGTTGCATAGACTAAAGACAGTTGGTTTGCTAAATGGCACTGAAGAAAATTCCAACTCAGTGGCACTAATTTGTCTAAATGTTTCTGACCAAAGAAAATTATACAATATTTATAGGCTCACTTTTAAGAGATGGCTGACATTAATACTGTACATATTTTACAGGTCAAATACATAGTCTAAGAGTTTATAAAATAAGTTCATGCATTATTAACTCTAAAAATGTCATGTACAATATACCTCTCCCCACCCCAAGTACTTGTGACAGCATTTCAGGTGGACGCAGTCTTATATACAAAAACAATCCAGTTTCTCTGCTGTGTTAAGTACGTAATTTAAAGGAACTTCAGAGACTAATGAGAAAAAAATCTTAGTCCATTGAAGATTGATAGAAAAGTGTCAATCTGTGGGATTTAAAATGTTTTCTTTTTTAAAAAACACCCAGAATACATAACCTCTGTACAAAGAAAAATATAAAAATTCTGGACGATGTTTGATTATACTACATAATTTAGAATGAAATGTCACTGGTTAAATTACTCATTCCTTTGACAGCATTAATTGTGAATCAATGTTTATATTTAGTTCAGCTGCATTTTATGGCACAAGATCTCATTTTTAAAACAGTGGCACCAATTTTCCTTAAGTGTAACAGCACTATTTTTAGCAGCAATTATATTTTAAAGGTTAACAATTAGAACAAATGTATTATAACTATACTTATTTTCTACTTTATATTCACCAGTTACAATATTTACAAGAAGCTAATGTCTACATATAGAATGATGTTGTCCTTGTCCCCGTCCCCCACTCCACATCTTATTCAAACGTTTTTCCTCTCACTTCATTTTTCACCTGTTAAGGGAAGAATAGGAGTTTCAGAGAAGGTACCTACATGTATTTTAGATAGGTTTCTTGATTTTGATAAGTATAAAGACAAACATAAGATAAAATCATTCTTAATTCAGCTATGTTCCAGTGCCCCAAAAGTTAAGTTATATGATAAATAGTACCTACTGACAACCTATAGAAGACAAGACAACCTAAGGCGCCCTAACAACCTAAGTCTGTAACAGCTGAACAGCAAGGCCATTTTGAATGTGATGCAGTCATCACTGACTGGCATTTGAGGTTAAACTCCAATCCTATCTGTGGTTATTGGTAACCAGCAAATTTAACTGAAGAGGTGTCACTAAATTCAAAAACTGGAAATACATTTTTAAAAGCAATTTACACTGAGGAAAATACAGTTCTCAGTCTGCGTAAAGAGAGATTATGGATAAAGTAAACTGGCAACTGAGCCTGCTAACTCAAATTCCATGAATAAAGTTTTCATGAGATGTATTTGCTACATGCGTTTTGCTTACACTACAACTTCTTAAAAATTGCCAACTCTATAAAGTTAAAATTTTGTGTAAAAGGACTATTGAGTTACAGGGAAATTGGATATATCAGGTAGCTAGTGACATAATACTAGTTGTAAGACAAATGAGTTCATAAATTCTTGAAAACAGCAAATTAAGTCCTTTGTCAAATGGTTATTGGAACTTACAGAAAATAGGCCAAATCTGGAATTTATGAATTAAAATTGTGATCCTATGAAACAAGTTTTTGGATGGATAGTTTTTTAATACCAATAATTATTTTTATAAATTCCCAGAACAGAAGAATTTGTTAAATATGTTAATGCTGTGAATGAGGAACAATTTAGGGGTGAAATATCCCCACGAGTTGATCTGAAAAAAATACAGACTGACATCAAATGGACAAAAATCTAAAAAATGCTGTGAAAAAAATGACGACCAAAACATACAGAGAGTGGGATGGAGCAGGGGGAGCAGTTAAGGCATCTAAAAAAAATTCCACATGGCTTTGGCTTATTAAAATATTTTACACTATTAAAAAAAAAGATCTGAAAGCATCTGAAAAACATGCAAATTGTTTGAAAACCCTGCATGGCAAATTCAGACAGTTTGCAAACGTCATTCAGATGTTTGCTAAGGAAAATAAAGAAGCCTCTCCCCGTGAGATAGCGCATGGTGGGAGAGGTCCTCCCCATTCTATCTTAGGCTAGACGGCAAGCCAGAGGTCTGTGCGGCAGTTACAAACAAGGTGTTGTTATCCGGAAGGGAAGGGACTGTGGAATTTCCATTGGACGGAGAACAACCCAACTTTAGTTTTTCCAAGTACTCTGCATGTACAGGCTTATGACACTGGAGAACTTTGATGGCATCTTCTACTTTGAACCACTCTCTCTTCCTTCCTAGAAAATAGTAATGACATCAGTCACTATACAATAAAGTCAACTTTAAAAAGAAACAATAGCCCTCACTCTTCCCACACGAATAATGACTTTCTTTTTTTTTTTTTGGAATGGCTTAGACAACAACTATGTTGGAGAAAAATTTTTAAATAATTCAAATGTGGAGATATATACTGATCTTCCCTTCTCTAAAAGAAAGGTAATCAAAAGTAATTTAAGATGAAAACTGGATACAAGTATGTAGTATTTGAATTAAGAGAATTCAGAAAGCAAAAGGAAAGGGAACTTACCTATATTAACAGAATCTTCCCAATCTTCTAATATTTCAGTGACAGTAAGAACATAAACATATGTTCTATGCTTTCGGTCTTGGTTCTGCTTGAATACAAAAAGAAAAGCATTTTAATCTACAGGAGCTAGCCACACACATATTTGAGGAAAAAAATTCAGTTCTGGCATAGTGCTAATTAGCATAGCGTATGTGCCAACATAGGCACACACACTCAGTTGTAGAAGTGAGATTATGTAAAAGACAATACATTTGGAATGGTGAAATTTTTACAGCACTTTGTTTCTATCAAATATTTTTCATTAAAAAAAAAAAAATCTAAGATTGGAATGGAATCTATATTAAAAAGAACTGCATTCCTGTCATTTTTATTCTAGGTCTTATTCCCTGGGGCTAATCCTGAAGGCCTTTGAACACTATAAAGAACTGTTTCCTTCAGGACTGCTTTGAGCAGTATCTCCGGTTTGCTCAGAACATTCTTTAGAGGGTTACAAGGTGCACACACAGCACAGCCCTACTAACCCAGACTAGGCCTTCTCAACCCTGGTGTCCATTACATCACCCGGGATGAATGGCTTCTTAAGGGACACCAATTCAGTTACTTTGAGATGAGGCCTAAATATTGATATTTTTAAAGCTTCCAGATGAACTATGAACAGCCAAAGTTGGAAATACGTGGGTTAATTCAATTCTAGAATATTATGTTTAGTACTATATGTTCAAATTTAATTTTACCCATGTTAAAGTTGCCACCTACTCTTATCTTTGGTTCAAAATTAAACACAAATTGGCTTAAAGATGAAAGGACTGCTCACCTTAATCTCAATTAAAATTAGTCTTGTTTGCTATAGTCTAAAACTATACATAATCGCCCTAACATTTTCTACCACAAATAACCTGAATAATACACCCGTTCAAACTGTGTCATGTCTTCGGGAAGGAATAACAGCAATAAATTAGAGGCATCTCTCATATAAAACTCTACTGTTCGTTATTTTAAGAATTTGCTGTCTTCTCTATGCCTGGCAAATCACTACCTTTATTATGCTATGTTCACAAATGCACTGAAATCACCGAGGTAAATGATCTGGACAATTCTAATTTTCTCTTATGTTTTCTAAGGGGAAGGTCACATGGATTTAAATAATATTTTATGGAAATTAAATAGCAAAAGCATTTACTACTACTACCTTCCCATGTTATATAAGCTTTATAATGGGAGACGTTTTAAAATGTCAAAAATTCCTGTCAGCATACTGATAGATATGCTATTTGTACCATGGCTACTCTGAATTACAAAAAAACTCTCAATACGCTTTTTAGTCTAACCAGGAGATGGTGCTGTTTAACTAGGTAAAGCAAGTACTGAATTCTGGAGAAGATGGAGCAGTATCTTAAGAACTTTACTCCTAACAATTACTGTATTCTGGGAATCAATTCTACCAATTCTACCAAGTGCTAGATAAGTAGATTTTTTTTCTGAATTCCTGCAATAAAAGCTTAAAAATAAAATGTACATGGTTCCACCAGAAGGACAGAACTAACCTTTAAATAGTATCTTGAAAAAAAAGTCACAATGTGCCTGATATACCATGTATCTAGATTGAATTTTGGGTAAAAATCTATTTGAGAATAGCTCCGGTCTCATGACGCGACCTTATTTCTCCCTGCCTTCCATAGAATGCCTATCAATTCCAAATTCCTTCCTCACAAATTCCATTCTGCATTCAGTAATAAGAAATTATACATAAGAGAATTGTATGCTTTTACATCTGTTCTATGTTCCTGAGCTTTGTATCCTCACACAGTTCTTTAAGGATAGTTACTATATGTTGTCTCAAGTTATGTGCTTAAGGAAAGGTTACATTTCCAGACAGTACACAAGAAACTTAAGCCCTTAGATGATACTGAGAATACTGTACCTCTTAAAAGTCTATACCTAAAAAGCATAGCATGAACCAAGAAATAAGTCTTTCTACATCAATTTCACTGTATTGTTATATAGAAGAAATTACCACCATAATATTGCTATATATAATAGATGGTATAAAAAGGTTAAGTGGCTTTTAATTCCTGCTCTGCTAATCCTTGTAACTTACTTGCCTACTGATCATTTCAGGGGAACATCTAGTTCAGGTTGCTGCCAGAATACAGTTGGTTAGAAAGGTATTACTAACTGATCAGCAAACCAAGGATTAATTTTGTTAACTCACCTCAAATATACCCAGTAGTCTGCCTAATTTTCCTTTGACTCCAGCCTGTTGAAAAAAGATGAAATGTAAAAATCTTATCTTTTCATAATAAAATTGATATGAAAAAAATTACTTTCTGGCCATTCTAATTTTTGAATCTAAACATAATAGGCCCTCCTATACCAAGCCTACTCTGTGACTTATTTTTGGCTAAGATTCCTGACCTGTGATTTACTGTAACATATGACTTCATTTGCTCCACATGTCAACTTGTCATTTATTTTATAAGAAATGGCAAAGACTGACCCAAAATTAGACTTTCTACAAATCTGGGACAAATGTCCTGAATGAAAACAGACTTCTGATAAATACTCTTCCTCCTCCTTACTTACAGGCCTATATTTTTTCACATGCATATGCAACCCTTTTATAGCAGAGTCCTCATTGTTCTTACCTAATACTGTAAAAGACTGATTGGAATGTCAATGCCCCCTTCAAATCCATAATGTGAACTAACAGACTAGAACATGCTGTCTTCTCTATCTAGAGTCATTTCTTCCTGCTCATCCTTCAGGACCTATCTCTACGAGACCTTTCTCATTACACATCAAGGCCAATAACTTTTTATGGCACTTAATCTATGCTGTTTTGCCTGTGAGTAAAAGCAAGTTGTAAATCATCAGGTGTAAGATGACAAGCAGGCCAAGTGTACTTTTGTGCATGTATGTGCACAAACGACATTTTACTGAACTTTCAAACAACAAGTAAAATAAAAGCAATTTGTTTCTTCTTATTCACTTGAAAAAATCATGGCACATGATTAATGTCTCTATGTTCTTGCTCAGTGTATTATTAACCTTGCTCTGGGGCAAGGCCATAATGTTATATATTGATCACTGACCAGACTTATTGTCTGTTATACAACTGCCATGTTATACAATTCTGGAGGACTTCCACATTGATTTTAACTGTTTCGCCAGATGAAAAAAATATGTGCTTAGCAAAATGCTAGCAACAGTTACATGCTTAAAAATGTTGAACTAGGCAACAAAATGTACCCAAATACAGTGTGTGTGAAAAGAAAAAAATTACTGTTCATCTCACCTCTTCATAAACCTCCCTCACGGCAGCACCCCAAGGTTCCTCCTCAGGCTCCATTCCTCCTCCTGGGACAATCCATTGGTCTGGGTACCGACTGCTGCTCACCAACAGCACCTGCAAGACCCACTGTAACCATCTTCTCCCAGCCTAAGAAGCACTATGCATAATAAGCAAATTTCTCAAAACTTTACAAGGTTGTAAATCTTGTCTAGATGAAGCTATTTTTAATTTTTAATAAAATTAGGGGTACATGGTCTACCACAAAAAAAGTATCTGACAGCCTTTATAAAACGCTGTCTTTCTGAATTCAGAGTTCAATAACATTATCTCATTACTAAATAATTCTTACCTAATGAAGTCATTAAAATTGCCAGATTCAATTAGTAAAAGTCTCTAATTCTTGGATAGCAACAAAGGATAAAAGCAGAGACTTGGTTTACTAGCCCCAGAGCTGTATGTACTGAGGTTTGTGGTCACATCCATTATTCTTCAGTTAGAAAATCTTAATTTGGAACATTCTTCCAAATTTAAGGATATATGACCACAGCCATGTCACCCTGTTCCTTCGCCTATAAAATTAATACTTAGAAAACAGATGCTGTGAGAAACAGGAAAATTCAGGTAAAGCTAATGCTAGGTACATAGAGATTTCTTGTTATATTTACGATTAGATGGAAAAAGGCACCCTTCATATTCCAAACCTATATAGATTAGCAAAAGTCTTTCCATTTTGATAACAACTTTAATTTATGATCTAGGACAGGCTGGCAAGCTATAGCTCACTGCCTGTTTTTGTACAGTCTGTGAACTAAAAATGGTTTTTATATTTTTAAATTATATGAAGTTCAAATTTCAGTGGTCATTAAATAAAATTTTGAGAATCCAGTCACATTCATTCATTTTTCACATATTGTCTCTGAATATTTTTGTGTTACAACAGCAGAGTTGACTAGTTGTGACAGAGACTATATGGCCTGCAAAGCCTAAAATATTATCTGGCCCTCTGCAGGAAAAGTCTGGGGAACCCTGATCAAGAACAGCATTAAGCTTGAAATATGCAAACGCTTAAAAAAAAAAAAAACTATCACAAAGTATCCTGGAAGTTCAATATTTTAACAGTATCTGAAACAAGTATTATACATCCATCTCATTAAACAAAATTGTGGGCAAAGAAAGGTTGAAATTCACTTAAGTTAAAAAAAAAAAGTTTATGATAAGTAATCAAATGGTATTTGTGAAAATAACAGATGTCTTAATCAACCTGAACAAAAAATGTAAAATTACTTGGTATATTAATCAATTTAGAGCAAAGTTTAATCCCTGGTGTGGGTCCTGATATTTTGATGTGCATGCCAGCAGTTCTATCTGCTCCCTCCCTACTGCCAGAGGAACTGCTGGCCCTGAATTGCTCACAGACAGCAGAGGACTCACTTACTTGAGCAAGCTGCCAGGAACTCAACCTTCCCCAACTGGAAAGTTCCTGGCTGACAGTTCAGCAACTCTCACCTTTCCCCTAAAACTTCTGAAAACACTGAGGTGGGAGATATGGTAATACCTATTCAGGCACAAAACCTCCTCGATTTGAAAAAAAAAAAAAAAGCACACCTTTGCCTATGGACACGCCATCAATGCTGAGCAGTGATCAATTAATGCTCAAGGGATCTTAACATTGTTTCTCTCATTCTTGATCTGGATAGGAAACTATTCCTTCCACTGGCATCATTTCTTCAAGTAAATAGCTGGCAAATTAGTGGCAAATCCAGAGAAAAGCACTGTCAATTAATACAATGGTTCACAAAGCCTTAGCCTAAATACTAATGGCTGACATTGAGGGTACCACCAAGTGCAAATGTAGCAATTTTGGTGAAATGAAATGTGAGGTCTTAAACTTAAGCTTTGTTAAGAATTAGCAAATAGGGCTTACATATCAAAATCAGAAATTTAAGAGCCAGAATAAGCAAATCCAGCAAGAATTGGAAAATACAGGTTTGAACATGAAGACGTTTCTAGAGGCACAAAAGATCATAACCAAGAGGGTCTTTCATTCCTTGATGCACACAGTGATAGGCTAATAATAATCCACGCAGTTTCATTATCTGTAAGAAGTAACTGCCCTTATAGGATTGTTAAGTGTTAATGAGCATTAAATACCTTAAATCCTGGCCTAAGCACTCACTGTTGGCTATTAGCAGCTCTTATACTTTCCCACCAGTTGAGTTGAACCAGTTTACCAAGAATTAGGCTTGTTCTCCAAATTTTGCCAGTTGTACTTGTTTGTAATAATTGAGAGTTAAGAATGAAATGAAGGCAGAAAAAAATTAAATATCCAAAAGACTCTGCAAAGATTTATTGAAAGTGGGTTATTAGAAACTGCTAAGTATGAATGAGACTACTATAAAAGACTGGGAAAAGAGAATAAAAAAATCCAGAAAGAGTATGAAAAGATCTAAGTTCGAATTCTACTTTAAACAAAGTGAAACTGCAAGTCAGATTTCACTTTTGTATTTAGTTCAAAAAGGAGGCTTACCGAAGACCTATGGTATTCAAAGGCTTTGGCCCTATCAAGACTGGCAAATGAATGTAAGTTAAGTTAAAACAAAAATATTTAAGGTACAAAAGCATTATATTTTAAATCAAAGGAAAAGTAAAGTGTAACTACTGGTCCTGATTGCAGAGTTGGAGGCCTCTTTTCCAACTCTGCAATCAGGACCAGTAGTTACAGTGGGTTAGGAATAATCTTGTTTCTATTATTGCCTGGATGAAATTCCTACTACACAATTCTGTGCTCTTTAAGCAACTTCCTTGATTACCTTCATAATGGGACAGAATGGTGTAGGTGGCTAACCACCGGAAAAGTACATCTTCATTTAGTAAATAGAGGTTTTAAAACCATAGATAGTCATAATGTTTGAGTCTTGAAAAAATGAAATTTAGTGTTATGTATCTAGGTCAATGACTGTTATGTTCCCATTTGTCCAAGATAAGAGCTAAATTACATAAGGTTAATATGTTGAAAAAACCCATTAGTATATATATTCTGTCTGCTTTTCTGTGCTAACACTTAAGCTTCCTTCCAATTTAAAACCAAATCTTTTATCTATAGGACATCATTAAAATATGACTGAATTTCTCTTCCAGAAATCAGTGTCATGGAACCCTTGCACAGTTTAATATCTCCCTCCATAAATTACTATTTAGAAAGCCTTGAGAAAACAGATCTAGAAGTTCTGGACAAATGATTTAGCTGAAACCAAGAAGTTATCATGCAATGACATTTCAAAATGATTAAATTTCATCAAGCCATTAACTTGAAATCCATCTTTCCAAAAATGATCAATTCAAATGAGTCATTAATACTTGTACAGAAATGACCAACGTCTAAACTACTAGCTTAAGAGACTTGATGATGAACCTTTGGTGACAGTACAGATTTGAAAACCAGTATGTTTCATTAAGTACTTGCCTACTCATCTTGAGTACTTCATCTGGAGTTCAAATGAGGTCAAGGAAACATTTGTGTGTGAGGCAGAAGGCAGGGGGAGGGTGATAATTAGGAGCAAGAACTGAGGAATATATTCCATAGACAAGAGTAGAACTACGGCATGGGTCTGCCAAGGTAGAAGAAATGAATATGAGTAACATAAGCAGAAACAAGGACAACTAAAACTCCAACACAGTGGAAAAATCTAAACCTATAGAACCACATCCCAAAGCATTATTATCCAATACCCTCAGCCCCCAATCTACTAGGACCTAAAATATAGCTTTAACATGCTAACTAATACTCTATGACAAGGATAATCTATAAAAGCTTATTCAGTAAGAGGATATAACAACAGCTGACAGATCCATATATAGTCATTAACAGGTTTTAAATTCCTTTTCGGTTATCTTTCTGGGTATATTAGACTTTGTATAGCCAAAAAGACAGTCTGTTACATTTGTGACAAGATGACAGAGATGAAAGACATTCAATATTCCAAATAAGCCAGAGCTGAGACCAAAGGAAAGATTTATAAAAAGAAGGCTAGTCAACCCACCAGGTTGCAGAATTAGACTTGAACTGCACTTAAACCCTAAAGCCAATGCTGTTAAGAGTGATGAATAAAGACATTTTTTCTTCCATGATCCAACTTGACCACCTTCATTATAAGCACTCCTCCCACTACACTATCAGACCTTACCCATCTCTTTCCATGTATTAATGATTTTACGTGACATTACTGAAAAGTCATTTCTCATACGTGTCTTTTTCTTAGAAATCTAATGTTTTAAATATTTGCAATAGAAGTATTCCTCATTTTAAGCAGAGATAATGGTCAACTTAGAACCAGCCCTGAGTCATACTGAATGAAGGTTTATCTGAACTGGAATTATTATTATAGATTCTATACCCCAGGGGTCGCCAATCAACAAGCCCAGCAGACTGGTCCTCTTGGCCTGTTAGAAAACAGGCCACACAGTAGGAGGTAAGCTAAGCTTCATCCATATTTGTAAGCATTCCCCAGTGCTAGCATCATAGCCGCAGTTCCACTTCAGATCAGGTATTAGATTCTCACAGGAGCACAGGTCTCTGGTGCCAAAAAGGCTGGGAACCACTGCTAAACCCACGGTTGCCCAACAAATCCTCTTCACTCGGGATATGTAAGAGCTTGTAAAAACTAAAAAATGCTATTCAAGGTCTATGTAATTCAGTTATGCCTTCAGGAGCTGGAGGTACGTGAACTGGTGTGTTAGTCCCCTTCACCAAGTGCAAAATTGCCTTCTGTGTTTCAGCTTTTATCTTAAAACTGTTCTTGGTCACAAGCCTGCATCTGGGAACAACTGGCTACTACAGATAATTACTTCCTTCCAGTAAAAACATAGCTAACTATCCAGAGAACTTGTCTAGTGAGTCCTAAATCTAAGAATGAAGAGTTTTATTTTGTGAATTTAGAAGCTATTTGGGGGTGACTGTTCTTCATTATTATGATCCAGGGCAGCATGAATAGTTAAAACTACCTCTACCACAGTTAAGAGTTTCATAGGCATTTAGCCAAAATTAGGCCAGCAGCATGTTGAAAACACTCACTATGCACACAAAGATTTTAAAAGACCGTAAGTTACAACAATAGTTATTATATCCACTAACTAAGCCACCTATTACTAAGGAAATTAGTACTGCTTTTTGGACTACAGAGACAGTGCTATAGGAGGATGAGAAATAAGTTCATGCTGCAAAAAAATGTGTTTAACCCAAATTAGATTATAGGGGATTGGTAGAAAGATGTATGTCAATCAATAATAGTAAATGGGTTGATCATGTTTTCTTCTAGCATGTTTTGAAGTGATGAAGTAAGCTTTTACACAATTAGATGACCAAGACCCTAAGAAAATAACAGATACAAATTCTACAGGAGCACCTCCCCTCGAGGGAAATAGCTGGTAAAAGTGGCCTAAGAAAGCCCTTCTTTAGGTCTAGGAGATCTGCAGGCACAGACATAGAGAGAGGTTGGTGACAATCTCTGTGTTTAGAAAAAGACTACCTTTGGGTATTTATTTTTTATGAAAGTGGTCTTAATTTAAAGCAAGTACCTTCAAGGACTTAAATCTGAGGAAGTATGAGCTCCAAAGTATAAATGTCTGAAAAAGGTAGACTGCCTGTTGATTGTAAGCATAAAAATGCTAATAGAGATTTAACTGTACTGATATTTTTATTAGCTCTGCTTTTAGAGTTCTATAGGTTTTGAGACTCTACTTTTCCCACCTCCCCAAGCCTTAGTTTCAGTGCATGATTTCATAGAACTTATTTTGGGGATACACATTTAGCATTTAGCAGATTATTTGAAGAACACAGCCCCTCACTTATGAGTGCTTCAAAGCTAATTAGAGCAATAAGTCCAAATGGAAGAGTCAGTTCTTAAGACTGTTTTGTCCACAATAGAATTATAAGAGAAGATCTTAACTTCTCTGCAGCAGTTTATGCAAATGAGAACATGGGAGGCCACCATGATTCATTCATGGCTAAAGACATGAGATGACTGCAAGCTAGAATAAGCTCATGGATATTAATTATCATTTTATTTCTTTTTAATGAAAATAAACCATTCTAAACTATATATATGACTTTAGAAGAAAAATAAACTCTTGGAAAAAAAAAAAAGACTTTTGTCAATGTTTGTTTCACAACTGTGGTGGGACCTCACCCAGGATCAAGGCATTTTTATTTCTCCCTTTGGCACTCTATCATATTTTGCTACCAGATCTTTCTCAAACTTGAATACATCTAAAATCTAAAATATTCCCTGTTCAAAACTAAGAGTTCTTTTCTTGCCTAGCAATCCTTCAGCCTTACATTTAAGGTGCTCTGTTTTCCAACTATTATTTGTTCTATGCTATCATAAGCTGCAACCCAACCAGACCACAGCCAAGTCTTGCTGTTTGTGATGCTGGTCCTTTCCCACTCCTAAAATCCAACTCCAAATGACTCATACTGAACCTCAACCTTGGAGCTCCTGATAGCACTTTCACCTTATTTCCCTTTATATCAGCCATTTGTCTAACCTCTCGCTACAGCGTATGTTCCTTAGGAGATGACACTTCCTTTTTCCATTCCTATTAAAACTACCTAATATGCAAATATGTTCAACAGAATTCATTTTGGTTAGTTTTTGTGAATGAATATTGTCCTCTCTCACTGCACAAACATAGTATCCCAGCTGCTCTGTGGGACATGTGGGCTTGCCTGGAAGCTAAATTGCCAAAAACTACGGGTGGTTCCTCACAGAAATAACTAGCTGAAGAGAGGATCATATGAACATGAGATTTAGAAATAAAAGACCTGGACTCAAAACTATCTTCTGTGACCTTGATAAGTTATTTCTGCCACCCAATTTCTTCCTATACAAATGCTAATGTTTATTATTTTGCTCACAAGGTAGAAACATAAAATGGGAATATGTAAAACTACCCTTCAAAAAACACAGACTTGCTGTTAGAACAACTTGTTTGAGACTAAGGGCTACTGAGAACTCCAGTATAGGGAGAGCCAGATCAGAGCACTGTGCAGTTTTTGGGGGTCAAACAGCAGTTACTATTATTTTTTTCAATCTACATTCTATAAATATATCATGCTAGAATAAAACATACATTTAAATCTCCCAACTAGGATCTAGGTGTTCTTAATACAGTAGTGAGAAACAAAATCTCAAATATTAGCTAGAGAGAGGTGAGTTCAAGCTGGCTAGCAATGTAGTTTCAACAGGATAAGAACACATAGCAAAAAACACCAAGATGTCCAGGAAGGCTAACTAATAGGGTTCATTCTATAATTATTGTATAATAGGAGGAGCCCCAACTATACACAACTACAGAAATGAAGACCCTTAAGAACTAAACCAGACATTAAAATTGGCTGTGCATTTTAGAGAATTCAGTCTTCTCTCAGAGTATATTTTCTAACAAACTGATTCACTTGGTTTCTCAACCCAGAGATTATCAGATTTACAAAGTTTTATGGATTATCTAATAAATTCTCCAAATCTCGCTCTTTCATTTTATCTAATAGCACTAGTCTCTTGACTCAACTAGAAGCTAGTAATTTAGCATTTATTATAGCAGAAACAATTTCCAAGTATAAAAAGAACTCGTTTATCTGCTAAGGCAATTTCTGAATTCTCCTCAGACTGCCTCACCATTCACACAATAAAGATCATTTCAATTTCCTCCCATTTCCCATATTTTCCCCTGGGAACCTATGTTTTACAAAGCTTGAATTCCAAGTTCAAGTTATGGCAAGACTTCAAAGTTACTACTTTCAGAAGGGCTTCCAAGCTCAGCCTCACAAAATCTCATTCAGTGTGTGCACCCAATTGCTATGGACTGGGCCCTATGCCAAGAACCCAGCATCAGGAGCAGAGACTAGATCCTGAATTCTGACTCTACCACTTCCTAATTATGTCATTTGGGCAAAGTACTTGTGCTCTGCAACTGTCTCCTATAAACCAGCACTAAGAAGATTAAATGTAACAACTTAATGGTCTTCAGGCAGTGCCCCACACAAGGTAAGCACTCAACTAAGAATGTGGTTACACAACAGTTGAGCTTATCAGACAAGATCCTTGACCTATCTTGATCACTTTTGGCTGTTATATTCTTTGATATTCAAAGATTGCTTTGTCCTAAGGTGGCCCTTCCCTCAAGGACCTTCAAATCCTTTTTTTAAAATAGGATGCACTTAAGGCTTGTTGACTTTGTTACTTTGTAAATGTTAAAAACCCATTCTCCTTCTATTTTCTACCTCAAGGTAGGCCCAGCTCCTAGAGAGACCAATTTCCTCTGAAAACTCCTTCAAAATTTAGGGTTAACACTTAAAGCCTTCGAACCCAGCAATCACCACCCACTGAAAAGTCTGGTTTCTTTTCAAAAAATAAAGACAAAACAAGAGTTTGAAGAGCACCATTTGGAAGCATTTTGATTTTTGTTAGCATCCTAAGAACTGAGTGTCCACTATGTCATATTTATACTAACTACAGGGATTAACAATAAGCCATTAAATTCCCATCTCCAACTTCAGCTATTTTACTGGACACAGTTGATTATGGAAGCAGAAATCAGAATGTTCATTTTTTTTCCCTGTCTAATCATTTTAGGAGTGGCTATGCTAAAAGATTTTCATTGGCTACCAACTGACCATTATCGCCCTAAGCAATTTTAAAACAGTGACCATTTTTTAAATTAAATAAATGTAACTGAAAAAAGTAAAAATTGCTCTCCAAGGAAATTTCAAGGGCCTATCAACCCAATGCAGACGAATAAATTACAGATTGACTGCTTACTCTTAGAACAAGGAAAGACTGCTCTCCTCTCCAGATGTCAAGCCACACATTGCCAAGTAAAGAAGCTTTGATAAATATGCTGAGAGCTAGAGATTACTGTCTGAAAGTGGTAACTTTGCCCGCCGCTAGTTTATCTTCTCTCTTCTGGCGTTATTTCACATTTTCCACTAACCATTTTTCTGCAGTCAGAAAACTATAAAAGGAGGCTTAAAAAAGAAAAATCAAGTACAAATTATGACAAGTGCCTGTGAGGTAAAGGATCCACTTAAAAGTAGGGCTGACGGAACTAGACCGAATGGGTTTTTATTTTAAAGCACGGAACTGTTTGGCTATTCCACAAACCTGCCTAGATTTAATCCGAAACCGCAAACTGCTGTAAAATGGAAGGAAAATGTAACAGAGGCAGAAGGGCTCAGGCTGCAACACTCACGCCATTTCCACCCCTCTACTAGCACTTAAGGTTTGTCAGCTTCACGCTTGGTTCGCTTAAAATGGTGACTCCGGCTAGGGGAGACTACACGGCCCGGGGCCTTCCCGGGGGCCAAGAGGCGTCTCGGCCTCCCGTCCAGACGACCGTCCAGTTAAGTGAACGATGGGCTGGGCGAGCCCCTTTGTCTCTATCAAACCAGAGAAAGAAAGGAAGGAAGGAGGGAGGAAGGGCGACAGGGAGGGAAGGAAGGAGGGAGGGGCTCATAATCCCTGCCAGCCCTGCAGGCAGACGGAGGGTCGGGCGAGGGAAGGGAAGGGCAAGGCTCCCCCTCAACCACCACCACACACCCCCGGGTCTGAGGGCGCAGTGCGCGCCGGCCTCCCTCACCTCGTCCTCCTGCTCACTCCGGAAGCACAGGCACGCCGCCCGCTTCTTGAAGCCCTCGCGGTCGTAGGTCCGCGTCTGGTTGGGCTTGAACTTCATCATAGAGGCGGACTCTTGCTGCCCCTGCTGCTCCGGCCGCCGCTGCGGTGGCCCGGCCGCC